AAATTTGACGTGTGCAACATAATCTACATACCAGACACATATCAACGATGTAGATGTTGATAATACGAAGAATGTGACATTGTGTTTTTAAATGTTAAATTTTAGACCGGGTTCAGTGTGGCAGCAACGTTAAGAGTATACACCTGATGATGGCCGATAGAGGCCGAAACATGTAGTGTAGAAAGAACAAGATCAAAGACATATAATATATATGGTTTGCACTTGGGACGGAATTTGTATCATTTATAATATAATTAAATTGCAGCCTTCTAGGACATGACACTGTACTTCAGTAGGTAGGAACCAACAATGAGATGCTGATTATGATGGAGGTAGACTTGATATAATCAAAGTCAACTCCATGGTTTTGGTTCAAATAGTGAGACTTGGTCAGCCTGTCAAAAAAATTGTTACCTTTTGTGGAACCCAAAAGTTCAGTACCATGTTCACAAAAGCCTTTCTTGAGCCAGCTAAATCCCATCCACATATGCATAACCCACTTTTTAAGAATTCATTTAAATATTAATAATAAAATATGCAACATTTCAGTTGAAGATATATGATGTAGTGTTTAGTGTCTTTAATTTTCAAATATTAATATAAATTTTTTTTTCTGACTTTACAGCCATCACGTAAGAAGAAAATATTCGTTAGATTCAAGTGAGGAGATTAAAGATGACTATTCCGGTTTCCAGTCTAATGACAGGTACGGTTATTTAATAATTTAAGGCATTGTACAAGGTGGTCCATAAATCTCACCTCACTCAGCATTATGGATACTTAGTTCTCATGCACTTCTGTCTACCAGAGCGGTATAATTTGGCAATGTGGAGAAAATTGAGGAGCTACGGGCTCCAGTCTAGAACACCAAAATTAATGGTCATGGAAATCCACTGTGCTAACAATGCGACATTCTCTATCTGCTAAAAGTTGGCATCAACTTCACTGACAAGCAGCGGTCCCTCAGTCGGTATAGTGCACCACTGATAGGGAAAATAATTCAGCTTACTATGATGAGACCAATCATGCATTGCAGCAGTATATTGTCCCCTATGTGTCTTTGTCAGTCACAGTTTGTTACAGTCTGTTATATATTTATATAAACTGACACTTTCTCTGTGACTTTAACCCTAAAGAATAAGGCACTAGCTTCCTCCAGACACATTGTGATTGTTAGTTCTACCATGAATCAGGACTGCCATAAACGTCTTATTGAGCCTCATATGATGTAGCCCACTTTCACTGTGTTGCAGCTGTTCCTTACTAACCAGTCATGAACACAGAATGGTTACATGAATGTGCAACCTTGTTCATTCTCATACTTCATGTATTATAATGAAAAGTACCCATTAATCACCTGGGATAAGTATGCTTTGCTCATCATTAGCTAAAACTGTAAAGAAGAAATGACAATCAAATGAGGAAATTAAAGTTAGCCATGTTTTCATGGCGGTGACTATGAAGATTACTGTCTTCTGATATGCAACAGCGAGTATTTTGGTAGGTGATCTATGATAAGCTGCTTCTTTATCAGCTCTACCTTACAGTACGTTCTCCAAAATACTGACTCTATGGCATAACTTCCCAGAAGACAGTGGTCTTCATTTTACCCATGTAACTTAGTAGGTTGGGGAATAAGACTCTAATTGCATCCAAAAACCCCACTGCAGTAGTTACAAATCATTTTAATGGCCATGACTACTTAACACTTGCAGGCATTTGGAGTGTATTCCGTATTGTGTTTTGGTGTTCTGTGTTAGGTCTGTGGTAGGAAACAGAACTGAGAAATTATAGTTGTAGGAATTGTAAATGAAGGGTGATATGAATTTTTATTCAGTGAATTAAACATATATAGGAAATGAATAGGCGAGGATTAAAGAGAACCAGAGTAAAATGAGATTTATGGTTCACCTTGTAGCAAGAGCACATCATAGCACAAACAGAAGAACTTAAGAACATGCTTGTATGTACCAGGAGGTATATGTCCAGTGAAGGAACACCATAGCAATATACAAAGTTGGCCTTCCATAAAATATTTAATGATTCAGTAGAGGCACTCATGCATTCAACTAACGCTGAAATATAATGTATGTACCTTAGTAGCACAACGGACAACCTGCTGGTTTTAATTGGTGATGGAGTGATCATTATATTTGTATGTGTGGTGTGGATATTAAGTCTGGAAAATACATATTTTATTTTATTTCTTCTTTGTTTATTTAGTGAAGCCATCAATACATTAGACTGTAGTGTCTATTGATAGAATGACTTGTGAGTAATGGATTAATGATGTGCAAGGAAGCAATAAGTGTCAGTTCATGGATGAGATAATTTGTTTGTGTGTGTGTGTGTGAGTGATGCAGGAGGGGACAACATTTTCATGCAATTCTCTGAATGAGACAAATGTGTGCAGCGCGTGCACTGAACTGAATCATAACTTTGTCATTGTAAGATTTGAACCAAAAATATGAAGATTATAGTCTTCTTGGATGTGACTGTATGTAGTTTGGTACATAGGTACTAATGTTCTGGACACATCTGCTGCTTCCATCTTCAGTGTATAAGAAGGTTACATGGCATTACACACCAGAAGACTGTAATCTTAATATTTACTGCTGTGAGAACCTCAGGGCTTGTAAAAATGTATTCTGTAAAGATTTATATTGGGTTTATGGCTAAATTCCCTGCACTGTTTTTATGTTACTCTTTATAAAGATATCTGGTTACTCAAAAGAAAGGAAACAAAACTCAAAACTTAGCTAGTGTTTGGTAACGACATCATCATGGTTATATAGCCATGACCCAGTATCTAGAGCACTTTTTATGAAAATGCTGATGTAATACATGACGCTGAGATTAGAATAGAGATGGAAGAACCTTCAAAGGGATAAGTGGTATTAAGAGCAGAAATATATTTATTTATTTATGTATGTATATGTTGGTTGTTGTCATGAATAGTCAGAAAGCATTACTATGAGACAGTGACATCTGCAGGACAGCTGTATGTCCATATGTGTTATATGGTGTCTCAAGTGATGGAAAGTAATTCTTGACACCAAGTTTATGTGGCTAGTGCCGAGTTAAAGATGACTTCTACTCACAAGCCTCCAAATGATGTGATTCTTAAACTGCACCATGCCAACAGTGGGCGTGTTCATTTATTGCCAGCCGTTTCCAGTACCCAGGTTACCATTCAGCTTACATCACTGCCATTTGTTCGTTCTGTTCTTCATCCCTAAACTCCATTCCGTGTTCACTGACATTTCTTTCCACAGGTGGCTTATTCTTTTGCCATGAAAATGAAGGAAGCAGGTTCCTAGTAATTATTTATCAAACTACATGGCGTCACATTTTAGAAAACAGTAATATTTTAAACATTACTTACTTTAGTCTTTGTTTAGTCTGATTGCTACACATGAATAATACAAAATAAATATTGCAACTGGGTGTTGAAAATTGAATCACAGAACTAGAACTAGCTCCAACAATGGTAAGAGATTTTTCTTACCTGCATGCAGTTTTTCAGATGATCAGTCTCAAATTTCCATGCTGGTAACCACAAGTATTGATAAGTGTTGAGGATAAAAGTGTTTCAAAAGGTTCAAGCACAATGGAACCCCCATTTAATTGTCCTTGATGTAACATTTTCTCTCTCTTTTAACATTCAGTTTCCATGATCCTGAATCAATAATCTCAGTGTTAAATTACCTCCGTTTATAAAGCTTCTCTGAATAGCTTTCAAATTCTCTGCTGCCCACAGAAATCTGAAATAGGGGCTTCACTCTATTTTATATTAAATACATTTGTCATTACATAATACAGTAAATACAGTAGTGACATCTATGTTAAACAGCACATATCAATGACTGCTTGTAGTTATTCATTGCTTTATAATATACATTTGATAATTTTTAGTTCTTAATTGATAAATGAATAAGTAGTAAGGTCAATCAATTTAACAGATTTATAGGAGAATACAGTACGTAAAAGTTGGCCTTCACATGCTTCCGCCACTGCTGGCCATCGTTATATGCATGGCCAACACTATAAAGAAATACTTATGTCTGTGTTTGAACATAAGTTCTCATAAAGGGATTTCTGCTAGCATTAGATATTGGGAATGGCTCAAGATGTCTCATGTAAAAGTTCAGTTTGTATTTTGAGAAAATGGTGCCCTGAAAATAGAAGCAAACCTTATGAATGTTATGTTGTTCATTGAGAAATGTTTGAAAGAATATAGCGTTGATTTTAAAGAACTAGAAATTTGTCAACTGTTCCCTTTGAACATATCATATTCATTACAGTATGTATGCAATCAGGAAAAAAGGATAAGAAATTGTTTGTAAGAATATAGCGAGTTGTTTAAACATAAGTGTCTTTCTGATGCCTTAAGCAGGTGACAGAACAGAACTAACATAATGATATTTCACATGGTCAAAGTGATATTACTTTTACTTTTGCATTTACAAATGCACCATTTAACCCAGAACCTGAACTAAGGAATCATGTTTCGATTCCAGGCAACATCTGAGTTTTCTCTAAGTGTCCAGACCAGTTCTGGGGCCCACTCAATTTCCTATTCAGTGAATACTGAGGTACCTTTCCCTGGAGTTAAAGTGACCTACATTTAAGTTCCGGAATGTATCATAACCAATTTGAAGTTGTGTTCTGTTATCTCACAAGTTATATGTATAAGAATATTCTTTCCTTCAGTCAAGAATTGTGTAAGTTTTTGAGAGAAATATTTTTCACAGTTGTTATAGACAGTGTCATGTAACTTCGAACAAGGCACCGCATTCCTTAGACATAAGGCTGCAGCCTTGCTTCTGCAGACTGTGTTATCATATCATATCATAGTTGGGATCCATTAGGATTGAGCAAGAAATAAAAGCCTGTCAGAGATACCTTGAGCATATGCAGAGCAATTCTGAGGTTGGATCATCAGTTATAGTATGAATAAGTATTGTACAAGAATCTGGTCTGTATCCAGATATAAGGTGTTTCATTTGAATCTTCAGATTTATTTTTCCCTGAATTCCCTGAATAACTTATGTAATGTGTCCCTTACATTCAGTAATTTTGCTCCTTTAATAGTTTAAAACATTTGTATTAAAATTTATTTACATAACTCATTGCTGTATTATTTAACCCCTTGGAAGACTGCAGTTGCTAAACATATCACCTACTTTAACAATGAAATAGTCTGCACCTTGTACACATAGTGTATTTATGGGTTTTTATATGAATCTCAGAATAAACTGATTATTTACTCAACATTAATTGATCAAGTCTACTTAATGAAGATGCAGTATGTTCTCTGTGCAGTAGGAACTTCATTTTTAAATATTAATTAGATAACCTCTGTGTATCACATGGATGAAATCTCTGTATAGTGAAACAATTGGACCAGTAATATTTCACACACTGTACTTTGGTAAAGTGTGACTGGAAACATTTTAGATTTACATTTCACTATGTCAAATGTCACATATGGGTTAAAGTTGAATGTGGGTTGGGAAAAAATAGATCCTATTCATGCCCATTATGGCTTCTTGACCATGTAATTTCCTCTGAGGCCAGTGGATTTCTAAACAGTTGCCACATATTGTCCATAGGTTGTAGCTTGCCATCCCTGAAATGTATGACGGTAGGAAGTGAATTAATACAAGAAGTTCCTTCTTGCTAAAAATGTGTTTCACTCTTGTGTGTTGTACAGAGGGCGAGTGGGATCTGTTTTATTGTTTTGATAATTGTATATTTGTTGTTCTTGCAGTTGTTCATTATATCATTCTGTTGAAATGCCTGTCCTTCTCTGAATCCTGTAACCAGGAACCTAACTGAATTCCGTCCTTTCATGTTGGCTAAGGCAGTAAGACTTTTGACTTGTATTCAGGAAGTGCCTGTGCTGAATCCTGACTGAGCTTATTTGTGATTTTCCTCTGTCCTTCCATGCAAATGCCAGTATAGTAACGTCATTTGGCTACAATAATTTCCTTCCAAATCCTTTCTAATTCATTATTCATCCGAAATCCTTCCATTGGACATTATATAGTACAGATCCTGAAAGCATGTAAAATAAGGTAAAGGTAAAATTGCCTCTGTGCTTAATTAATTAAGCACCACACCATGAAGGTATATGCAGGAGTGGATGTATAGATCCACATTTTCTTGACCTTGGCACTAGTTGGAGTTGAGTGGTCAGCTACACGCCTGTTGCTTTACCCCTGGGGAAATGGCCCCCGGTACCCACTGAATAGGGGGTTGGGTGAACTGCAGCACCAGTCTGGATGACTTGGAAAAGAGAGAATTCTTGACCCTACTGGAACTCGAACTCCGATCACTCGGTTGTCCAGTCTGTAGCCAGTCTCTATACCGACTGTGCTATCCCGACTCCCAAGGATCTAAAATAACCAGCAATAAAACTATCATAAATTCACAAATTTCAGCATGTTGTCTGCCTTGTTTGAAAACTGGATGTGAAGACTGTTTTGTGAGGTGAGAGGGCCTACAGTCTAGTTAATGACTAAGACAGGATTGGAAGAACTTGCTTCTACCCAGAAGATGGATGCCATAGGCCTCTAAGTAATGTTGGTACTTATCTACCAAACTACTGTGTTAAAATAAGAGTAAATGTTATCGTGAGAAGGGTGGGTAGCTGTGGTACTTCTGGTGGACAAAGTAGGACTGGGCCAGGCTTTCTCCAAGTAGTTTGGTTTCCCCTGCCATTTCTCATTCCACCAAATTCTCCTTAATCATCTGTCCTCCGTAGGCAGTATAATAGGACAATTAGTGGCAGACTTCCTGAGCGGATCCTGTCCCCCCCCCCACAAAGTAATAATCATTAAAAAAATACAGTACGTGAAGCAGCGGCATGTGTCGGTCTACAGCGGTTGGAGGCGCAGTACTTGCCGTACTTGCCACGTGAGAAGGGGACGTTGGTGGCTTCGAATGTGGACCACTTCAACCAAGATCCATTTACGAAGCTGCTGAAGATAGCAGTGGTAGTAGTGGTAACCGTGGCAAGTTCATTGTTCATGTAAGTGAACAGTTGACTGTATTGCATTTGATGTTGGCTGCCCTGAAGTAGGTAACATGGCGGAATAATTGGTATATGATATGGAGCAGAAAGGGGAAAAGACGTATTCGGCAATCAAATAGTGTGGAATCGTTCTGCGGAACTGTTGTGGCGTCAGTAGTGTGTGTATCAATACAAGTTTTCTTACGAAGAAAGGTAAGTTGCAGTGTAATGAAACTGGTGTCATATCGAGCAGGTTAGTGTTGCAGTGAAGCCGTGTCATTGTGGTGCAGTGACCTACGCATTCGATCTGATCAATAGAGAAGACTTAATTGCATCTTTAGGTTAGTTTTGTGTCGTGTATGACAGATTTTTAGAATGTACTTCGAATCTGTGCTACAAGCTGACGTTTCATTATCTAATAAGATGCATTTTATGTTAATGTAGTAGGTGTGGCAGTTTTAACAATCCATAAATTGTCATTTGTTGGCTTATGGGTGTTTAAATTTACGTGGGATTTGGTTGTGCAGGTTTATTTCTAGTTCGTGGCTGTTTCTTAGAATACCGGTATTAGGTGATACCATCATTACACAGAAGTTACAAAACAATTGTTGCACATTCTTCATAATGCAATTTATGAATTTGGTATTCTAAAATTCTGTGAAGGTTATTGTGTATTAAAAAGGAGGAAGAACAACAGAACTTCGTGAGATATACAGCTCACATAGTATTGTTAAAGATTCGGTTGGTGGAAGTAACAAAAAACAAAGTATATATGTTTGGTGGAAGGACCTATTGGAAAGCAGATGGAGGAATAGGGGGATGTCATAGAATTTTAGGTTGTGATTATGTGAACTGGATTAGCTCTATATGGGAGTGGTAACCACGTGTGTTGCATGCTTTAATGTTGAATAAGTAAATATTTTAACATTTTAGTGAGCAGAGTTCATCGCTGGTTTTTATTCTGTTATTATAGGAAATTAGTTGGTCTCATGAACTGTTGATGAAGAGTACCATTTTCTGGGTTGAAACACTAGTTCAGAGAGAATCTCGCATTTCAGATGAACATATTGACTCTGTCTTAAGGTTTGAAAAATAAGCCAGTCAGGAAACAGGCAGCAAGCTGCAGCATGCTTCTGCTGGTTTCTTGTGTGGCCTACTCTTCAACCCTGAAGATGGAGTTAGTATGTTCCTCTAAAACATCAAGCTGTCTGAAATTCACAGCATTACAACACAGATGGCTCTGCTCTGCATAGGACAGAACTCGTTCACACTGCACAGATGCTTCATAGACCTAAGCCCAGAATATAGAACGTATCATAATAAAAAGTACAATACTGATTTCCAATACAAGTATAAATATAAATACAAAGTCATAACAGTTATTTACATGAAAATAATTGTATGAAAGGACCACTTCATTATTACCTGTAGTCACTGCTGTGAGAAGTCCAGTAAAAACCATTGATCTTTGTAAGCGAGATGTAATGTGTTTTGTTGGGGGGAAGAACCACCTTTTAAAATATTACTAGCAAAATACTCTAGCTTTGCCCAAGTTATGGTTGGTTTCCTTACCATTGTCACACTGTACAGTGGCAAAAATGTTAAGGAATGAATAATCCTCAGCTACTGCATTCAGTCAAGCTGTCAGTTTATTTGTTCCAAGAATCCATATTTGGATATACAACCTACGGATAAAGAACAAGTCAGTAACCACATATTAATGTAACATACATATTGTACATGAGTCAAATATACTATAAAACTTAACTACGTGCAGATTTTATACACATCAACCATACACTACATCATCCAACCTGCAACAGTTCAATACCAAAAGAAACCCTGCATCCAAATTTTATTTAGATTAAGTGAGGACAAGATATTTGTCATAACATAAAACCATAACACACTCACTTCAGAATTAAAGGGACATAAATTCAATGGAATAAATGAAATGTTTCAACAGAAAGGATTTGAAGTCCCTCTTAAAAGAGTTATAATTTTTCTATAATTTTATCTGCCCAGGGACCTTATTATACAAGGTGATTCCCATATTTATCATGCTTTTTTAAAAAATAAAGAACTGTATTGCAATGATTTACATGTAAATTTAGTTTTCTTTGCATATTGTAATTATGGATGCCCAGATTTTTTGTTATAAAGTCTTTATATTTTTTAATAAAATATCACTTCAAGTACGTATAGCGCAGCCAATGTTAAAATATTATAATCAATTATTCTGGCCTGGCCATATATATTTGGTTTCCCTCTCCTTTACAATGGAAGTTGACTAAATAATCTGTTACCACACTTTCTTATACAGCTGTGTAACCAGCAGCAGCACCAGCACTGAGCATGTTAATTTCTACTGTGTGGAGCCTAGCAACAGCCCCACTGTTAATCACCATCTCACTTGTCTCAGCGCCTTTTTGTTGTTTAGGTTCCTGTTGTCATGATCCCATTGCCTTTCTGGCAGATGAAGTAATAGAGACATAAGTTCACCAGCATTTGAACCCATGCACATAACAGTAAAATTAACAATATGTCCTGAAAGCAATGCACACATACTGAAACAGAAATTAATATTAAATCTTTGTGTATGTGTATTGTCTTCAGCATTAGTGATATCTCCAGACAGTTGTCTTTTTATTTATGTGAATTCGTGTATTTTTTATTATGTCTTTCACTTATTGAATAGCATATTTTAAAACTGAAGTGCTTAAGATTGCTTAAGTCTTATATTATTGTGTTGTATTTTAGTGTCCTGCTGCACTGATTTTCATCCGTGATATGTATACAGTGGCCGTCTTGTAGTGCACTCAATTTCACCTGTTACTTCACGACATGTTTCGGCAACATAGTGCCATCATCAAGTGCCCTAATTACGCTAATCTATTGCATTGCTTGCCATTATATGTCTTTATAAACTTTTGAAATACTTTTTAAATAAGTTTATAAACACATATAATGGCAAGCAATGCAGTAGATTAGCGTAATTAGGGCACTTGATGATGGCACTGTGTTGCTGAAACAAATCATGAAGTAACAGGTGAAATTGAGTGCACTACAAGATGGCCACTGTATACATATCATGGATGTTTATATTATTGTTTCGCATTTATGTAAAAACATTTAGTTTTCTTTGTATAATTAATAGTTTTCTTTTTCAGTTTTACAGTAGCCAGACCAAGGCACACCTGGCTGCTGCTCTTGGTGGGAATCAGCTGATTTGTAAGGAAGGCGATGGTGACTCCGTATCAGTAACATTTTCCACAATGAACGCTGAAATCTGGGTAAGTTACATTATTTTGTCATAATTTCTGTAGCATATCTCTTCCCTTGTAAAGTGTTCTACATATTGGCTGAATAAACACAACTTAGATTAGGAGTCGTCTTAATGAATATAAATTTTAAGGAATTTCTGACAATCCTAGAAGTTCAACCGTTAATATAAAAACAAGTTTGGGAAGGACTAATCATCTACTTTAATTTGACATGACACAGACCACATCCAACAGTTTGCCTATCATTCCATGTGTATTTGTTATCATGGTAACATTTTTACTGAGCTTTTGCTTAGTAGTGAAAGGAGGGCTGCATTCTACCGAGCCATTGTCTAGTAACGATAGAGGGTGCACTTATAGACACACAGACTGATGGGAGGGATTTATGAAGTACGCCTTTGAGATGGGCTCAGGTGCCGTGATACACATACAGACTTTCGTAAAGATGGTTGAAGCATTCAAAAGTTAATAGGTCAAATACACAGCTACACAGACAGCATGTTGATAACATAAGTGAATTTATATTGTTTTTCAAAATGGGGCCGGGGGAATCTGAAGCATGACATCAGAATTTGCCTTCAAGAAGTTCATCAGGTTAGGCCTTTGGTTCCATTTTGAACAGATCAGGCTGTTGGCGTTGTTTGTAAAAGTAGATATCTCAGAAACCTCTAAGTTTAGGTTTTCTCCTCTCGCTCTCTCTCTCTGTTGGCACCCTAACATGTCTTGCCTACACTCCTGATACACTGACATTGGGCTTTTGCAGATAATTAAAAGAAAACTTGGAATGTGGGTAGAATTTTAACACTTCTTCCATGTGTTTAGCATTAAGTGTGTGTAGAAACATACTTACAGGTAACTTTGGTGTGATGTACCCTGGTTTGTAGAGTAGACAGACTTTAACATCTGTGAGCCTACACATTGCTGCATCCCTGAAAACATAATTGTCAGTAGGAAATTCATAAAAAATATTCATACTCATGATTCGATATCTTATATTGTCACACAGCACAACTTGGAGACGATGAAGGTGGAACCAGGGGTGGTTCATGAGACCTACTTAGCCCCTGCTTTCAAAGAAAATGAGTTAGTTGAAGTGAAAGATGTGGGTTGTCCTGTATCAATAACATTCCCTGTAGTAAAGACTGAAATCCAGGTAAGTTGTATGTTAGCTTCTGTAAAAATTACTGTCTTGTCTGAGTTTTACAAGAACAGAACACCTTGATATACGATATACGGATACATGACATATGAAACAGTGTTTTGATTTGTTACAGTTACTTTACACAGAAAGCTCAATATATTTTCATTTCACAATATATTTAGAATGTTGTATTATAGTGTTCTGTTGCACGAATTTAAAATATGATGTATGAGATAATAGGTTTTAACAAGTTTTAAATACATAAACTTTATTATTATATAAGGATGCATGCAAATTTAATATTATTTGTAAGTGGACGTATAAAGGCAAGCAGTGAAATAGTTGACGGATCGATACACCTGAAGACTGTTAATACATACACATTATGTATATTTAGAATGTCAGTGCTGGATGTGGGGCTCCCACAGCAGTGACCATGAAGAGTACTGCTATCTTCTGGGATGTGATGCCATGTAGTCTGGTAGTTTACTGTCATTTAGGGGGGAACATACTGTTTCCATCTTCATGGTTGAAAAAATGCTAAGCAAGATAGCATACTTTCTGTTTTCTCACTTTTCCTCCCGGAAAAAATATTTCCCACAAGCGATGAAAAACTGTGTTCCTTAAAAGGACGGCTTTCCTACCCACTGTTCCTATTTTCCTGGCTCGGGCTTCTTTTCTTCCCCTTCCATTGGGTTTCTTGAGAACCTTTCTTGCAGTCTGCCTGAATCTTCAGCCATGAATAGCAGAATGCTCCTCCAAGATTCTGCTAAATATGTTTACAAGACTGCACAGTGTCACAACCCAGGAGACAACAGTCTGAACACATAACATGCTAATTAGCCATGATGTTCAGCAGGAGGAGCTCTGGGATTTTACTGCCATGAGAGATGTGCCATCAGAAGTGACAGATGAAGCGTGTGTGTTCAGGTGAGGCCATTATCGGATTTACTGCATTAAGTGCTACATTTTTATCTTCTTGTTACCCATCCATCTCCTTTCTCCTAGTTCTCCCTGGTTTTCCTTCATGACCATGTTGCAGGAGTGACAGTAGTAGTGGTAGTGCCAGCAGCAGTGACAGTTGCAAATTAGAAGGAGTTCGTTAAGTATATCATCATTGGTGGTCGAGTGGTAAAAGTCGCCATTGGACCCAAGGTTTGTGGGTTCAAACCTGGCCAAGGTCAATGTTTTTTTAGGGGGATAAACATCTAGCACAACTTTCCTTGTAAGAGAAGTAAAATTAGAGGTCCCATGTTGTATATTTATGGCATATGAAAGAGAGAATGAAGCCCACAAAGCTCCCTGCTGTACTCCTAGATGTAACTGCGGAGATTGACAGACAAGCGGGAACAGCTGGAAAATTGCCTAACACAAGTGACGTATACTGGATAACATAACTTGCCCAAATGGTGTCTGAATAGAAAATGAGTTACAAATATGCCAGCCAGCCAGTTGAGGTTAAAAGCACAAATGACAAAATTGTCAAAGTGCAGCATTAGAAACCAACCGTCATCGTTGTTGTTGGTAGTAGTAGTAGTAGTAGTAGTAGTAGTAGTAGTAGCAGCAGTAGTGATAGTAGTAGTGGTGGTGGTGGTGGTGGTGGTGGTGGTGGTGGTGGTGGTTGTGGTAGTAATAGCAGCAGCAGTAGCAACTATAAATAGGCCATGCCATACCTCAAGTAGTTAGTTGCTGGCTTCCCATCGCGGTGGCCCAGGTTCGATCCTGGGTCTGGTCAAGTGGGATTTGTGGTGGACAAAATGGCGCTGGGGCAGGTTTTCTCCGAGTACTTCAGTTTCCCCTGCCAATCTTCATTCCACCAATTGCTCCACAATCACCCTCACCTATCATCTGGGGCTGGTACAATAGACCAGAAGTGGCCGCAGTACAAGGGACCTAGTCACACCCCACTAGCAAAAAAAAACAAACTAAATAGTTGAATACGCGAGTTCTCATACTGATAATGCACCATGCCTACCACCTAATTCAAGGATCACTGATGCGGTGAAGTATATATTACTTCATTTACAGGTTAAGGTCCTTATTTATGACATTATTTCACTTTCTTTATATGTAAACAGTGTTTATGTTTCTGTATGTTGGTATAGTTCGCTTGCAGACTACAGGCCATGGAGTTTTATTTTTTATTTTATGTGCTCCTAATAACGTAGCATCATAACTCTGTGTGTTTAAGGAGAATCAGAAAGCTCTTGGCACTTTTCTTCAGATGATTCAGCCATTATGAGTTAATACAAAAAGAGTAAATTAATAATTATATAATGTAGTTACTTGCTTCTGTGCATAATGTTCATCACTATGTAAAACTACCCACATGCTGGCACAGGCATGCTGTGAAGTTGTGTCTGGGAAATAGAAATGTCCAAGGGATCTGCAAGAAGAATGTTCAAGACTCTAAGCGATGTCATCCAGTTTCAGCTTTCTCCTGACAAAAACAGCAGAGCGTTTTCAGCATCTATTGTAAACTAGGTAAAATGTGTTTGTGGTGTGTTAGCAGTAGTTGGTTCTAAGGTGTTCTGATGTTGGTATATAACACCGAGGATTACTGAGCTTTTTTTTTTTCTTTTAATTCGGCCATCATCTGGTGCTTGAGGGTCGCTCTTTCTGATGAACCCAACAGAATAGGTGGCTCCAGCCCTTTCACCTGAGGATGGAAGTGGATGCAGTTTCCAAAACGTTACATTCTATAGAATGCTCGACAGTGTACAAAGTCCAAAAAATCAGTAATCGCAAGTGCCAGTAATAGGCACGTGTTCCAAATCTTCACAGTATGCCTAAACTGGAGGAATGTCTGACACTTCACCTGAATGACTGCAATGTTTATGAAAATCTCTTTAAGATGATCACACTCTGTAATTGTTATATATTCTGATATATGTTACAGTTTGGAGGAGCTGGGTGTTATACAAGACAACCGCGTTTGTTGTGCCACCCCACAATTGAACACAGATAGTCAAAATAAACCTCATGATAGTATTGATATTGAAGGTAGCCCCTCAGACTGTGTTTTCATAGGACAGGAGCAATACAAACAGAAACCCAGTTATGTTACTCACCCAGGAGAAACATCACTTGGAAGTGATACACAAAGCAAATGTTTATCTGAAGAAATGAATCATGCAAAACAATCTGGTAGTCAGAGAAGGAAAAAGCTACATTACTGTCAGTTTTGTGCTATAGTATTTCCTAGTTACCACAGTCTTTTACAGCACAATTGTATTCAAAGCAGGAAAGAGGGACTGAAATGTAGCATATGCAATGAATGTTTCTTTGAAAAAGAAACTCTTGCAATACATGTCCTTGTTCATTCAGGGACTCTGTCTTTCTCACGGTGGAGGAAAGCTGTTGATATGTGATTCATGCAGACACGTTTCCCAGTTCTCGGCATCAATGCTGACAATTAAGGTGACATGTTCCTCTTGAACAATAACAGTATACTGGACTGTCAAGCATCACATCCCAGAAGACAAGAATCTTCACGGTCACTGCCATGAGAAGATGAAATCTGATAATTTATGTATTGTCTTTTAGTTTGGTATTTAGTACCAGAAATGTCACTACTGTATTAAACTGTAATTCATATAGCAAAGAATTATTAAACAGAGGGCATGTTGAGCATGATATGAAAATATTTTTTGCATGTATGTGTGCAAACTTCAGTTCACAAGATTCTGGTATATGTTAAGAGAGAACATCATACTTAGTCATACTGTACTTACATCACTGTGATACACTGAAACCGTGATTTAGCTAGGCACTTGAGAAGTTCTTGGAGGGATATGACATTTATATTAAGATACTAAACTTAGTAGACTAACAATATGCAGTAAATGGTGCTAATCTCTGTACCCTGTGAACTTTCATTGGCAATGGTGGACACTGTAAGGCTTTCCACTGCCATCTTCTGCTTATATTCATAAATATCTCCTAACATGCATAAGGGCAGAATACCAAGTATTTATCTTTCATATATAATGATTATTAATGCATTCAGTGTGAACATATGTATGTTTTTCTGTCACCTTTTAGAGACAACTTTTATTTGTGTTAATGCACTTATTTTTTATTATATTTAAATTATTTATTTGCCTTTTTCTCTTTTGTTTCTTTAGTTGTGCTTTGTTGCTTTCTTAGCATGTAAATAAATAAATTATCATGATAATATATTCTCAATTTTATTAGGGTCCTTACAGCCCTTCAAATAGATCCACAGGCTTTGATTTGAACACTTTTTGTCTTCATAGAAACTTACATGGAGATAAGGGTGATGGAGCAACATAAAGAAATATCTGTAGCCTTGAAGTGATTCAAATTACAGCGTTGAGTTGTTGCTCTGTAGCAATGCCCAGGAGGCCATCGGAATAACTGAAACGTTTAATGCAAAAGGGTTGTGACTCTGTTATCAACTTTTTTAAAACCAGATGATTAATACAGAACTGGTAGAGCACAGTAGGTATAATGTCAAGACTACGGGCTGGACAGCTGAGGGGTCGGAGCTCCAAGTCCTGATACAGGCAAAATTATTTCTCCTCTGCGTGTCGTTGAGACCAGTCGTGTGGCCCACCAACCTCCTATCCAGTAGATACTGGGGGCCCTTTTCCCAGGGGGTAAAGCTGCTGGGGCATGAAACTGACCACTCACCTCCAACTAGTTCTGAGGTCAAGAATACATGGATCTATACATCCACTCCCCCATGTCTTAATGGCATAACTGTTAATTTAAATGATTAATACAAATTTGTAATTACGAGTGAGTTCACATAATCGTTGAAAGACACTACTCTCACCCTGTGTGTACTGTCTGTGTAAAACATCTTCGAGGAATGTCGGACCTTGAATAGGGAGCGTTAAGAAATAAATTTTGTGTGCAACTACATCTTCAATACGTGACTCTGGTTCCTGTCATAGGTTGAAAATACAACAAGCAACTTTCTGATGGTGATGTAATGGCCTACATTATTACCTGATGATGACATAACCTCAGTGATGTTTTAGGGAAAGTATACTGAAGCACCAGTCGTACATCAGATGTTAAAGACTGCCATATTTTGGAGCCATACCTGTCTTGCAATAATAAACCTTTCAGTTTTGTGTTTAATAGATCCTTCCCCTGTATCATAACAGTTATAGTCTCACACATTATTTAACGTTGACCTGTTGAGGCCTTCTCCAGAGTTTGGCTAACAGTGACTGCTTATGTAGTATGTTTCCTGCTACCTTCAAAGTTAAGAACATTCTTTCCCATCAGCAAACTGAGGGTATGCTGTGCCATGCCATGATGACAAGGGATCAACAGTGAGTAAAGGTATATTTGAATTTTCTTTCAGTTTTCTCATGTGATAAATATCTGATCAATGACAGTTCTTATAACACCTGTGATTTGCTTTTGGGTTACTTCAGTTATTTCTGGAGGCCAAAAATAGGAGTTCAGCAAGTAATGAAACACCATGCTAGGATCACATTCAGTCCATGATACTTAAAAATTCAGTTCCAAAATTAAATTGAGATATGGAATTAGGAAACACATGAGATTGTGTCCACAGAAAAAGAAAAATTGTGTTTACCATTATATAAGTTAATATCTTGTTCACTTCATAAGAATCTAATACCAGACTACACTCTTACATGAAGCTTCCTTCAAATCTTTGCCTCTGAAATGTGGGATAACATTTTTTGTGCATGAGGTCAACAGGGCAGAAGTCTATGAAAATAGTTTATTATGTCTGTCTTCATATTGTATTTTAGCATGACCTCTGTGATCTGCCCTATCAGTAGGCATCTTTCCATTCATATACACCAACACACGTGTTTTCTGTCTAATGTACAAATAAAGGTCAAGATACCTCGCCCCCTAATCCAAAAGATAACCAAATACTCCAGATGATAAAAATAAGTTTCGAAGACCTAAACTGGGAGCTATTGTGAAGTCTGTGATGAACTTTCACGTCTCGTGTCTGTTTGGCATATGAATAGTTCTCGCCTGTTCTAGAAATAGTTATAAATTGTGACTAGAACACGACATTAAATAGCGTTAAAAGACGCTGGTGCTTAAACGTTTTATAAACTATATAATCTGGATGGATAATTCCTTAAACCCGTTTCTGAAGCCCCATTTCGGGAAAATTCGAACAACTGAAAGAATGTTATTCAACAAGCTTTCATGTACACAAGAAACTGAACCGAAACCCAAGGGCAGTAACGTGTGGTTACAAGGCATTTTTACATAAGTTCCACGTGGTTGAATGAAAGCCGTTGAATTGTATGGAGGTAATATGTATACGTTTGTAAGCCCTCAGGTTTGAACCTAGGTCACTACCACTTGCAGTGCATTTACAATTTTTACTATGCAACATTTAGTAAATCGTATAAATTCAGAATAGTTAGCCCTTGGAATTTACTTACTGACAAATATACAGCCGCATAAACTACTTCAGTTTATATTATGAATTCTTGCAATAAATGTACTGGCCAATTATAACCTCACATAGACCTTGAAGCAAAGCCGTCTATGAAGCTATGAAGGGAGGGTTTAGGGGAGGTGTCAACTCCTGCACCTGTGCTCGTCATTGGCTATCGTCAATGCTCGAATAAATTGAATTTGGCTCCATTAATAAGTACGATATCTCGATTAATTACGTCAGAGAATGTTGCACCTGAGTGAGACAAGAAGGAAAGTGTTTGTTCAGCAAAATTTTCAATTTTTTCGTACATATCTTGTGCAGTAGAACAGTATTCAGTGCCGTGAATTGTGCTAATTAGATGATATGCAAGATTCTGTGATTTGATATAAACTGAACCGAATTAAATGAGGCGTGAAAACGTTCGGAATCAACTTTGCATTAGTTCGCTTGCCGAACAGTAAGTGTTGGTACTTTCACAAGTTATTTGTAACAATAACGAAATATTCGTTATGGCGTTTATGATATTTCCTAAATTCTGGCATTATGACATCGATATGATTTGTATGTAAGTGTATACTTACAATTATGACGTCAGTTATTTGTTACGACAATTAAGTGCAAAGTTCGTAGCCGTTTTGGAGACCTTTTCTTATGATAAGAGAGGTTAAATATTCGAGGTATTCTAAAATAAACAACTTATTTAGAAGTTTTCAAAGTTTTTTGTAAGATTTTATTATCAAGACTAGTTCGTTGCTCGCAAGGAAATTTCTTATGGTCCGTAAATATATGAACTTGTAGAACTTACTTGTATTAGTTCATAGCCATTTTGGATTTCCGGGGATTATGGCGCCATAAGGAGCATACCAAAAATAATTAAATAATTTGCATAATATTTTGGATTAATAATTACGGTGATTTATAAAGTTCAGAACAATTTATTCTCGAGATTTTAACATCAGACGTTCAGTCATAGGCTTATTGCAGTCCAAATGTTATTTATTATAATATTCATAACTTACATAAATTAAATCATTGCCTTCTATGTGATGTGGCCATTTCTGTATCAAGTTTTATTATCAAAAACTATACAGTTGTATTCACCATTTTCTAGTAACAATGACGAAATAATTCCAAGGCCAAACAGTAGATTTAAATAGTTTGCAACGAAACGGTGAATTAATATGATAATACTAGTTACAGGATTTGATTTTGCTTTATAATGTAACAGCGAGATGTTGGAGAAAACTGCATAATGAGAAGCTTCATAACTTGTGCTCTTCTCCAAGTATAATTAGAATGATCAAGTCAAGGAGGATGCGGTGGGCAGGGCATGTAGCGCGAATGGGGGAGAAGAAGAATGCATATGGGATATTGGTAGGAAAGCCAGAAGGAAAGAGACCACTGGGAAGACCAAGGGGTAGGTGGGTGGACAATATTAAAATGGATGTTAGAGAGATAGGATGGGATGGTATGGATTGGATTGATCTAACTCAGGATAGGGGCCAGTGTTGGCTCTTGTGAACACGGTAATGAACCTTCGGGTTTCATAAAATGCTGGGAAGTTCTTGAGTAGCTGCAGAATTGGCGGCTCCTCACGAATGGCTCAGCTCCATGAGTGAGGAAGTAAGTAAGTAAGTAAGTAATAGTGATATTGAAATCTGTCAGCATTATGGTGAACAAAATTATATATTCACATAGTTCAATTACTCCGCTACACGCGTTGCTGACTTGCATTCAGAGGACACTAAGATTGAATCCCAGCCTGGTAGCATAGATCGTTAGTGAAATTCCGTCCGTAAATCCTATATTCTGAATTGTAAAGAAATTTGTCAGAATATTACGATTATATGAAGAAAAATACTTTTGAGTTAAGTTTATGATCGAGTTGTGCCACGAATCACCCTGGGAGGCCGGTGCATAAGGCTGAGAGCTCAAGGCCGCGCCATAGCTCAAGCGGTTAGTCGCTGGCTTCCCACCGCGGCAACCTGGGTTCGATCCCGGGTCGGGTCAAATGGGATTTGTGGTGGACAAAGTGGCGCTGGAGCGGGTTTTCTCCGAGCCCTTCGGTTTCCCCTGCCAGTCTTCATTCCACCAAATTCTCCATCATCATAATCACCCGGGGCAGGTACAATAGGCCAGTCAGTGACCGCCGTGCCGAGTGGACCCAGTTGAACTCCACCCCCCCCCCCCTAAGTGAATTAAAANATTAAAAAAAAAAAGCTGAGAGCTCACCGCCATCTGTGAGCCCATTGCATACAATATGTGGGAGCCTCGACGCCTCACATCCTGTGGGTCTCCACGGCTTGTTACCTTTATACGTGTGTGATATCATATTTACGACGGATATTAAACTTTTTGAAGTGATCTAGTTGCATGAATATGATGTTTAATTCCTTCAATATGACGGTAGTTTGCAGCTTCGTTCCAACAACAATACCAGAGACCTCACTTGGGTCCAGTATTCAAATTATGCCAGAGTTTTATATAGAAATTATTTTGTGGCAATTTCCACACATGATCGTACAAATTACCAACTTTCTGACTAACAAAATAAAAACTAACGCTTTTTTAACATTCTTCCTGTAGATTTCTTTCTTACCTTGTGTATGGTCGGCAAACGCTAACATTTCAAGATTTGGACGTTCATATGTGCCGATTGCCGCCTAGTGGGTTGGGTATGGAACAAAGAAAATAAACATACGAAATCTTTCAGTTCCCTTTTAAAACTCACAGTGCTCCAACGAACTTCAGGTGCGCTGTGTATATTAACGTATTTAAAATTCCTCTTACTTTTTTTTAATTCGCTTAGTGGGGGGGGGGCAGTTGGGTCCACTCGCCACGGCGGCCACTGATTGTCCTATTGTACCTGCCTCGGGTGAATATTATGATGAAGAATTTGGTGGAATGAAGATTGGCAGGGGAAACCGAAGTACTCGAAGAAAACCTACCCCAGCGCCACTTTGTCCACCACAAATCCCACTTGACCAGAACCGAGTTTGAACCCGGACCGCCGCGGTGGGAAACCAGCGACTAACCGCTTGAGCTATGGCGCGGCCTTTCCTCTTACTTACTTACTTATGGAGCTGAGGCCTTCTGAGGAGAAGCCAAATCTGCAGCTACACAATTTCCCAGCATTTTATGGAACCCGAAGGTTCATTACCGTGTTCACAAGGGACCTCCACTGGTCCCTATCCTGAGCCAGATCAATTAAATCCGTACCATCCCATCCTGTCTCTCTAGGATCAATTTTAATATTGTCCACTCATCTACGCCTTTGTCTTCCCAGTGGTCTCTTTCCTTCTGGCTTTCCCACCAATATCCTATACGCATTCCTCTTGTCTCTCATTCGTGCTACATACCCTGTCCACCTCATATTTAAAATTCCTCTACCACTGCAAAATCACAATTTATGAAGAGGGATCTTCCGCTACACGAATGTTTCTGAGACCGTGGTGCACGGTTCGCTGTTGGTCCCCAGCAATTCAACAGAGGTCATATTTAAATTATTTCGGTTCCCTGAAATATCGGCGTTGTAATTCATAATAATAATAATAATAATAATAATAATAGTTATATTTTATACAAAATCATCAGAATCTCAGAATAGAACGCAACATATGCGAAGTTTATAAAATTAAAAAGGTAGGTTTGTCCCTGTGCTTAATTAGTTAGGCACTGTGGCATGAAGACGTGATGGAACGGAGGTATAACTCCACCATTCTTGACCTCGGCACTACATGGAAGTGAATGATCAGCTAGCTCAGTCGGTATAGCGACTGGCTATGGGGTGGATGGCCTGAGTTTAATTATCCTTTCGAATTTATTTTTCAGATTCTTGTAATTTGCATTCTTCTGTCATAGTGAGAGCACGGCATAAAGCAGCTTATAATAGGATTGCTTCGGATGTAAACAGTAAACAGTTTTCTCTAAAAATGTAAATATTATATACCGACAAGCTGTCTGTGTGAATTTGTTTGCATTTATATATTTCAGGTTGTATTCCACGACAAGCCATGTGAAAATTAAATTATTAAATTTCAGAGTTTAATAAACGGAGGTTACAGCCTCACATTAATAAGAATGTCTGACATCACTTCTTTTATTTTAGTAAGATAATTTAATTCTGTCATAAATTAAAGCTGTCCCTGTAACAGGCCCATAAGGTTATGTGACGTTGAGGCGCCCACATTTTGTAGACAGTCGGCTCACAGATGGCGGTAAAGCCAGCTTTACTCACCGGCCGCCCATTACCCCCAGGAAGATTCATGGTACTTATTTTTTTAGAGGTTGAGTCGACCTCAGGCCATAGTGTGGCTGGAAAGATTAGGTCAATTGAAAAATCCAATGACCCATCGAACCCGCGACCTCGCGGCTTGTAGAGTAGTGTAATTCCTTCGAAAGTTCGAAGTCGGAGTTCGAGTCCTCATGGGGCAAGAATTTTCTCGCCTCCACATTGTCCAGACCGGTTCTGGGGCATGCCCAGTTTCCTACCCAGTGGGTACCACGGGTAAAACGGCTGGAGAATGAAGCTGGCCACTCACCTTCAACCAGTGCCGAGGTCAAGAAAACGTGGATCTATAAATCCACTCCCCATACGTCTACATGGCGTAGTGCTTAATTAGTTAAGCACAGGGAGAACTTTGCATTAGTACCTTCCACTTTGGATTTTGAAGACAGTAGTTTCTTACAATCGTCTGTAGACTTTGTATTTGTGAAGAAATGTTGCAAATGAAAGGCATATTCGGCAACAAGAAGAAACTGTTTAATGTTTGATGGACACTTGACGAGATCTTTGTATAGGAAATACGGCCCATTATACGCTTATCGAAGATATTAGAACAACGAAGGTTCTGTGTTCATCTTCGACTAATTTCTGTTTATATTAGATTGTGCATGTCAAGGACACAGGATAACCTAAAGCAGCAATTTGTGGTGTCAAATGGATGACATGGGCCATACTGCTCTGTGGGTACAGATTAGGACGTGGGGTTTAAAATAACTTTTCTATTGTGTAGGGGCTAAAAAATTTTAATGATTTCGATGCTTCTACATGAACATAGGGTTTTGTTTATGCCGTGGACACTGCCATTTACATCAATAATATAAAAATCACTGTTACTTACTTACTTACGGAGCTGAGCCCTTCTTGAAGAGAAACCAAATCTGCAGCTACTTAAGAATTTCACAACATTTTATGGAACCCAAAGCTTCATTACCTTGTTCACAAGAGCCCTCCACTGGTCCCTATCCTGAGCCAGATCAATCCAATCCATGCCATCCCATCCATTTTAATATTGTCCACCCACCTACGCATTGGCCTTCCCAGTGGTCTCTTTCCTTCTGGCTTTCCCACTAATATCCTATACGCATTCCTGTCTCCCCCATTCGTGCTACATGCCCTGCCCATCTCATCCTCTTTGACTTGATCATTCTAATTATAATAAAAAATCACCACAATTTCTCTTGTCATCTCACATAAGTTTTACTGTATAACATTTTGCGAATGAACTGTTTATATTTCCGATACGCTGCAAAGATTTGCAGATTTCCAAACAAAGCCTTTTTTTGCAGTGTTATTGCATTTTATGTTTATCGTAAAACTTTGTACGAATTAATGCCGTGTTAATAAAGCTACTGGTTACATTCCCGCTGTGAAGTGAACATACGTATACACGTCTATTTGTGCAGTGTTACTGTTACATTTCAAAGTACTGACTTTACATTATTCTTTGTACCAACTCACAAGAGGTTCATGGTTAGGATAACGCGTTGTGCCATGTTCGTGTGCGCGCGTGTGTGTGTGGTTTCGACGGCTCTCCGAGTGTTAGTAACATTGTGTTGTGCATTTCGTTGGATTCCCTCAACGTTTGCAACGTTCCAGTGGAAACATCAGCGTCCGTCCGATGCAGACTCCGAACCCGGGACCACGGTAAGCGGAACTCCACACTAATCATAACGTGAACGCCAAAACAGTGTCGGCTGATTGAGGAAACATCCGCATAAGGATGGGATGGGTTCTTGCAGAAAATGGGGTACGCCCTTATCATGTCAGTCCGGCCCCAGGCTGCTGATGTAACAACGTAGAGCCGAGCCAGTCAACTCTGTATTTGCTGCGGTAGCCGCCACGACTCAGGGCTTAGGTTAAGGTCGAGTTGGACACCCTGTGCATGCTATATGTTTTTATTTACTATTTTGTATTGTAAGTTATTTGTCCTCTCGCCCTCCCCGTTAGGTGCCCAAGATAGGATTTCTGGTGAGGCGGCGTGAATTTGTTTTTGTATCCAGTTTAGCCCTTGTTGCCACAGTGGACCTTCTTTTATAAGGATTCTGTTGTAAGTATTTGTGTGTGTCTTTTATACCACAAGGTGTTGACTTGACAGGGTTCGGTCGGCACGTCAGTGGAATCATTGCGATAGGGAAGAGATAAAAAGAGCTTTAACCGTCTTTCCCTTTGAATTACTCGCCATGGAAAGACAGATATTTAGGATAATAAACCTTCATTCATCCGTCTTTCACTTCAGTGTTCAGATAAGTGACTGAGTCTGTATGACCGCCTGAAGTAGGTAAAGTGGAGTGTTATGTTTGTGTGTGTTGAGCTGTGAATTCAATTTATGCAGTGTTATAATAAGGAAACGTGTAAGGCGATTCAATTATATCGAGTGATTGAGCCTTCTGCATTGTTACTTATCGAAGAACAAACGCGGATCTGTAACATTTACACTTCGCATGTCAACAGACATCGCTCGTTGCTGTTGGAATTAGGATTCTACGTAAACCGTTGCACTGTATGTTGAGTTTTAAAGAAACGTTCGATGCATTCATACATTATGATGTACAACTTTATTTAAAATATTTGTTAACATGATAAATATTTAAAGAGATAGAAGAGAAGAACCTTCTATGGCAACACAATATGGCGTTTGGAATTCGAGTAGAATTTTAACGGTAGATTTATATAAATGAAGAGCAAGGCCATGAGGTACTCAGTTGACAAGTAGTCAATGTAGTCCAGTTTTAGAGAACACTTTCTAATCTTGTTTCTTAACCTTTAGAGCCAAATGGTAGATATATGTACCACCCGATTTGGCATTATATAATTCTGCATTCTGCTCACACAGTGTATTTGTGTGTTCCGTATGGTTCTCACAATAAACAGCGACTGTTTCCTTAAATAATGTGAGGTGATTTATCTTTGTTATGGGGATACAGTTTTCTGTGAGGTACAAACTGAATAATTAAATAGGCCATATTACTTACAGGGAGCTGGTGTTTAGAGAGTTAAATAATGAAATGTTGTTAGTGTTATCTTAAGGTTATGAGTTCCAGTGTAACAAATATGACGTAACATTGCAGATGAACCGAGCGATTACAGTTGGAACAAGATCCACTTTTGCATTCACTGTGTCCTAGGCGTCATCTTGAGCCAAAGTCCTCCAGTTGTGTTCATTACGAACTTCTTCGGGTCCATAACCAGGGGTACAGCTGATTTCTCGCAGATGTCAAACTGGAAGCGCGATATTAGAATAGCAAGTCCCATTTTCACCTGCATGAGACCAAACCTCAGTCCTGAGAAAATGGAAAGACGAATTAGTGAATACTCTGCCTATTGACGTAAAGTTGTCCTATGCCATGAAGACATATGGGGTAGTGGAGGTGTAGCTCCAGCATTCTTGGCCATGGCACTAGATGAAGATGAGTGGTCAGCTTCACGCCTCGGCCGCCTTACCCCCGGAGAAGAAGCCTCCGGTATCCATTGTATAGGAGGCTATGCCTTCACTCGCCCGTATGTCTTCATGGCGTTGCACTTAATTGTCTAATTAATTATGCACTTGCGCCTTGAGTCTAGGCCACTTAAAATGGAAAGGACACAGTGATTCTGTTCCGCAAAGTGTAACGTACACTTCTAGACTGTTGTTCGTAACTTGATTTAATTTGTACCTTATTTAACAACGCTGTCACTAGCTTCGGCTATGCAGCGAGCAGTGATTGGATGATGTGAGCAATGAATTGGATAGCATGTACGAGTAGAAGGAAGCGGTCGTGGCCTAATTTAAAGCAATACCTCGGAATTTGAGAGCCGGGATAGCGCAGTCGTTATAGCGACTGGCTGCGGCCTGGACGACCAAGGGGTCGGAGTTCGAGTCCCGGTGGGGGGGGCAAGAATTTTTACTCCTCCATGTCGTCCAGACCGGCTTGGGGGTCCACCCAGCCTCATATCCAGTTGGTACCGGAGTTCCTTCTCCGGGCTAAAGCGGCAAGGGCTTGAAGCTGACCACTCACCTGCAGGCTAGTGCCGAGGTCAAGAAAATGTGAATCTGCACATCCACTCCCCCATACGCTTTCATGGCGTAGTGCATAATTAGTCAAGCACAAGGACAACTTCACCTCTATTATGCCACACCGCTTTCTTCCAAATCATTTACCATTCACCCTGCCAGCCTCAATGTATAGTCTAGATATGAGAGCCCTAGAATAGCACACAGCAGTTGACCTACCGTACCTATGCAAATACGGGGCCCTTCTCCAAAGGGCAGGTACGTGTAGGGGGGCCTCTTCTCCTTGTTGTAGTCCGTGAAGCGCTCAGGGTCGAATCTGTCAGGGTCCGAATAATAAAGAGGGTCGCGGTGGATGGCGTAGATAGGGATAATAACTGGTGTCCCTTTCTCGATGTGCACATTCGTCCCTGGGATGGTGTACGGCTTGGTGCACACCCTGATCAGGTTCGGTAGCGAGGGATACATCCTCAGGGTCTCTGCGAATGGACGAAATGTTAGTTGCAGTTGCTAGGCAACAAGTACACTGTAGCTGCCAGGCCACGAACAGTTATAGTGTGTCAAAACATGTCATCAACAGATTAGTGAAGTAGACTTTTTTATATTGGCCTCAGAACGTCACTGGATTCTATTGGAAAATCGAAATGACCATACCAGAAATCTAGTTGAGCTCACAGGACTTTTGCTCTGTAAGGGTGTAAGTCCTTTAAGTAGGCCGCGCCATAGTTCAAGCGGTTAGTCGCTGGCTTCCCACCGCGGCGGCCCGGCTTCGATCCCGGGTCTGGTCAAGTGGGATTTGTGGTGGACAAAGTGGCGATGGGGCAGGTTTTCTCCGAGTACTTCGGTTTCCCCTGCCAATCTTCATTCCACAATCACCCTCACCTATCATCTGGGGCTGGTACAATAGGCCAGAAGTGGCCGCAGTACAAGGGACTTAGTCCCACCCCACTAGCAATAAAAAAAGTCCATTAAGTGATGTTTTAGACGGATAAAGTACGTTTGTTATAATTAGATCGATTTAGTTTGCCCTCATATTTCGTCTCTGAAAATACTCGACAGATTGTGTTTCCTTGTTGTTCATTTAATGACACTGTTAGTAACTAACTCTGGCTATAATTTCATGTAATTAAATGTTGTTGTCCATTAACAGTCAAGGAAATGATCGCTGTTTGTTCTGAAAATAATACGAAACATTTAAACACTGTGTGTGGCAAAAATGCGAATTCTCTTAATGTTACAACCGGCGGTACTTATAGTAAGAACTGTGCTTTAAAGTTGGCTGAAGCTGTAGCACCTCTGACATGTTTCCGGGATGCCCTCATTTCAAATCCCATCCGGGATACCGATTATCACCTATTTCGCGGGTTTCCTCCAAGGCAAAACCCGAGATAATACCTCGACTACTCCATGACCGCTTCCTTCCAAATCTTCATTATTAAAGTCTCAGATTCTGCGCTGTGTAGTCTGAGTTCTCTGTATAAAAACGTGTACCAAGCTGAGTTCATGAGAAATCAATAGTTATTCAGCTACTCAAGAAATTGCCAGCATTCACAGAACTCGAAATTTCATTCCCGTATTCACAAGCACCCGTCACTGGTCCCTACCCGAAACCACAATAATTCAAGCCATATCCTCCCACCGTTTCTTTAAGACCCTTTTAATATTGTCACATGTACGCCTATGTCTTCCGAGTTGCCCCTTTCTATCAGGTTTTCCTGCCGGAATTTTGTGTACACGTCTCTACGGTGCGTGCTATATTCCTTGCCCATCTCGCCTTCCTTAATTTTAACATCTTAATAATATTTTGCGAGGAGTTACTGCTGGCGTAGTGAAACGAAAGCAACGCCCGACGTACTCACCGGCCACAACGTGGTCCAGGTACTCCATGTGCTCTAGCGCGTTGTACGTGAAGTGGCCCTTGTGTTCCTTCAGCACGTGGTCTATCTCCTCCCGGAGTCGCCGCTGCACGTCCTGGTTCAGTGACAGCTCGTAGAGGCAGAAGCTCATGCTCGTTGCAGCCGTCTCGAAACCCCCCAGGAAGAACACGCACACTTGTGCCGCTATCATGTTCTCGTCAAACACTGCAAACGGAAAGACACTCCACTTTGTGTCACCGAACATGTACGAGTCAGGATAGAAAGATGAAGGAAGGAGATGATGGAATGGGAAAATAATGATAAGGAAGAAGCAGAGTGGATGAAAATGAAATCAAGAGAAGAAATTTAATGGACAGTGGAGAAAGAGAGACAAGATAGAGGGAAAGGAGAAGAACAGATAAAAAGGGAAGGAAATGAGAGGAGAAATTAGAACAAGAAAGGAGGAGCAAAAAAGAAATGAAAGAAAATTACGTTGAAGGAAATAGATTCGCTGTTCTTTCATGTTGTCTGTGCAGCTGATAACTTGGGTCTGAAAATTTAAACCGTCTTGTAGTGCATACACTCATTTATCTCCTTCTCTCCCTCGCACTACATGTTTCGGCATAATAATGCCATCTTCAGGTGCTTACTTATCCACGCCAAACTAGTTCATTGCATGCCTTGTTCTCACTACTGGCGTAGTGAGGTGCGACGTAGTAATGTGGTATCCTGAACAATTTTAATATTTTTAACGTTTGACAATGTATATGATAGATACATATTTTAGTTATTTTAATATGAGAACAAGGCATGCAATGAACTAGTTTGGCGTGGATAAGTAAGCACCTGAAGATGGCATTATTATGCCGAAACATGTAGTGCGAGGGAGAGAAGGAGATAAATGAGTGTATGCACTACAAGACGGTTTAAATAAATCATGGACTTAAATCAGTGCAACAGGACGCTAAAATATAACACTGGGTCTGAAAAGTTTAACTTTTCGAAACTTTTCACAGATTTCTATAAAATTTGGTATTCAAGGCCTTAACTAAATATAGTTTACGTATCATTTGACCAATAACAAGAAACCAAGTTCTTTATACACATCGAAAAATAGTCAAATTTGAAATTTGCTGTTCAGTAACAAAATATCCGTGGCCTAACTACGTGCTCTTGGGATCATTTTAATATTACAGTATTATATTTCAGCATCCTGTTACACTCACACAATATATATGGACAAATACCGTCTTAAGTGCAACAATTTTATTGTAGTTTTTACTTCTTTTTCCTCCTCCACACTACATGTTTCGGCCCTAAATGGCCATCATCAGGTGTGTATCACTCACGTAACTGTTACACTGCTTGTTAAAAATGTAAAAATCCCAGTCTTTCTAATTGTATAAAATCTTTGTTAATCTACACGCGTCGATTTGATTTTTAAATTAGCACTTTTTAAACCTTAATTCAAGTTAAAATGTCTATAAGATCTTTGTTCTCTTTCTTTTTCAAATTAAAATTTTTCAGGGTACATGCCCTATATCTACGGTGCTGCAGCGGCCACTNACGGTATTTGTCCATATATATTGGATCATTTTAAGCCTAAAGTCCCAAATAAGCTTGGGTCCGATCTGTTATGAAAATGAGTATGAGAATTCTATCGCATTTGTGATTTCTATATTATTTCCATTTAATTTTAGGTTGCATAATAATAATAATTATTATTATTATACTACTACTACTAATAATAATAATTATTATTATTAGTAGTAGTAGTAGTAGATAAGTAAGTAAGTTTAGACTACCCTCTGAATTACAGTTTCAGTTTCGATGACTGAGATGCGGGAGACATGAAATGCGTACATAATTTTCATGGCTCAAACGAGGCTGTATGGACTGAACAATAGTGGTATTATTTTATACCATTCTGTCTGATACGGAGAAGACGTCAGAATAAATATTACGTTAGGTTTTGTTTAACTATATATCTCTGAAGCTACTGAATTCTACCCACTCCACGGACCAGGGCACATCATACCTTTTGTAGACAAACTTACGGAAGAAAAATCTGAATTTCCTACCAGCGTAAGCATGTCGCAGTTTTGTTGAAAATATAATCTAGTAACTTTCTAATGTTGATGTAATCGTCAGTAACTCACAATGACGCTCTCCCTGGTCCCCCTTATAGATGGAGTACATCCACATTAACTTATTTGTGGTAACAGAAAAATATTCCTCTAATGCCTTAAATAGGCCACGCCCACTTCGTTCAACATGTTTGCCATTTTATTATTCAGTATCACGTTACATTTCGAAAGCTCTGTTAAATAAATCATATGGTCACTTACCAACGCTGTCGAGCCACTTCCTTTTGGGTGTCACATGATCATTTTGTCCAAGAGCGTAGTCATTTTCCCTCATGTGGCCGGTTTTTGTATCTGCAACACCATTCTTCATGGTCTTGCTGTGCTCTTCAAAAGAGAAGTTTTCTTCAGTATCTATTTTCTCCAAATCGTCATCGACGTTCTTGTCTTCTTCATCATCGTTTTCATTAATATCAATCTTCTTCTTCAGTTGTATCAGCAAATTTAGGAAATCCTTCCTCTCGATGTTGTTTTTCTCGCGGTACTCAAGTGTCTCCTTCACAACATTCACAAAGAAACCGGTAACTTCATCCGAAAAACTCTTGATGTTGAAGTATTTGAGCAGAGATGGGCAAGTGTACCGGAAAAGACGATGCATATTTGTCCAGGATCCGGGCGCAATTATCTTCTCACCCATTTCTCTGAATTTTGAGTGTGGATTTTTCAGAGAATTACTCTTGACTCCAAATGCACATGAACTAATATTGTCAGTGGCATACCTGGCCAACACATCTCTCAGATCCACGCTTTCTCCATCCTGGGCGAACGTATCCAGATATCGGCAAAGATCTTCTGCGCATTCCTTTACCAGATGAAACAGGATCCTCATCTTGCTTGAGTTGAAAGCTGGGTTTAATGTTAAACGTAGATTTTTCCATGGTTTTCCTTCAAGAATCACAAGGTTTGCACTGATCGGATCGTTTTCAACATCATGTGGCATTCCGCGGTCATGAAAATGCGAGAAATCCTTAATGAGAACGTGTTTTATCAGATCGGGATCCCTGAACATGATCATGGGAATCCTTGTTTGAAATATACCTCCAAACATATGACCATCTAACTTGTGGTACAGCTCCCTGAATCCTTCTGCTTGTGTCTTACGATGAAGTCCAATTTCCATAAGGTTTCCAAAAAATGGCACTGGCTTTAAGTAGGGTACACCCTTATCTCTCCAGTAATTGAAATGAGACGTGAAATAATAATATAACCATGCGAATATGGCTCCAAGAACCACAAGAAACTCAAGTAAGAATGACTCAAACAGAACACCCATATTTGAACTTTCTTGATGATAAACGCTGTCAATGCTGGTGAGCTGATGATGCTCTGAATAGTTATACAAAATCGGAAATCTTCAGCGACTGTGACTGCAGTGATCATGGGCTATGTAACATGTCCATCGACTGTAGTCATGTCTGAAAGCCCATTGGCTGACCAAAACTTGCTCTGGAGTCCAACCATAAATGGATATAAATTGGTTCGTTATCCTTCAGCCGCGGAACAACACACTAACGGATTCATCATAGCTTCCTCGTGTTAATAATGGGCTTGTTGTATCCTTGTTTACATAAAGTTCACAGTTCAGAGATAAAATTTAATGATAGAACCTAAGTTCGTTTTATTTGGTTTCAAGAGATAACCTTCATGACTTAGAATATCCGTTACGGCATTTTTAGAAATCTGGTATGACCAAAGGCTACAGTGTTAAATCACTGATGCTTTTCATCTCAGATGTTCACAGGCGTCCAATTTATGTTATGTCTCGTCACTTCATGCGGCACATATTTCTGTTATGTAATGTCTGAACTTCTCTCATATAAATTTTAAGAAAATTAACATCAAAATTCAAAAGAAGAAGGCTGAAATTTACAAGTAGTTCCTATAGGATTCTGACGATGGTGTATAACACACTGATATATTGGGTTTCTGGACTTTATCCATCGTCCTGGTTTTTAAGATAACAAATAAAAACACGACGTTTCGGAAACAGATCCAGTTTCCGAAACGTCGTGTTTTTATTTATCTTAAAAACCAGGACGATGGATAAAGTCCAGAAACCCAATATATCAGTCTGAAATTTACAGTTGGGTGGGAAGCTCGCTTGTTTCGTATTCAGAAAGCCCCGGGGCTAAATCTCGACAAGAAGACAAAGTAACTCCACAGGTTTTTCTATCCAAATATTTTTTCGACTCTTTTCTTCCACGTCCTTTTTAATTTGATATTCATTAGTCATACTTGAAGGGAGCCTTCTTGGACGATCAGCCTCATCAATTTGGAGTTAATATCTAAGGTTTCATTGGCTGTCTTCGTCTCCACCATCAGGGGTTGATGCGACTGTCGCGACACTGTTCCAATCGCGCTATCTGGTGGCGGTCCAGCTGCACTAACAAAAATGACATATATCTGACACAAACAGACACTTAGGTAATTTTGAAAGGACAACAGATATTAGGCATTTTAATACTATTCCCACATCATAGTTAGCGAAACAAGCGTGCCTACTTTAGGTTAATATTACCTGTCACGCTTGGAACTGCAGAAAGTTTGCAAGATTATAGCAGATGTGCATAGTTCCTCCATTATCTTGACCTATTGATTACTCCGTATGACTCAAAACAAAGTTCCTAGGTCAGTGTTGATGGTCTGTCATTATGTATGTTGATATAGAGGTCATGGTCAAGATTTGCGGAACGTACCGTCATGTTTATACTATAAAGCCCAGTGATTACTGTAGGTACCACCTGCTTTAACGCTGCAATACACAGTGTACTCATTTGTTTCATGCTTTTCTCACAGTAAACAGCAATTGTTTCCTTAAACAGCATTAACCGGTTGGGCTTTGTAGCAGAGACGTAATGGGTTTCCTGTGAGGTACGGACTGAGATTTCTGCCCACAGAGTGTATTTGTATGTATGTAATTAAGCACTATGCCATGAAGACATATTGGCAGTAGAGGTATAGCTCCACCATTCCCGATATCGGCACAGATTGAGGTGAGCGGTCAGCTTCACGGCCCTGTAGCTTTACCTCCGGGGATAGGGTCCCTCGTACTCATTGGATATTATATTACATTAGTATGTAAAGAAATAAATATTGCGTTTTTTTTTTAGATATAGTGTGCTTTATTAAAATTACCATAAAATTATCTACTTGATTAAGTGTTCTTATGCATGCGTAACATTTAGGAATTCTTATCTTTGGGCACGGCAACCTCTCATATGTGTATGTCAAAGAACGTTTTAAACGACTTCTTTAAATAATAACCAAAAATAAGTTCTTGTTTCTTTTTCTCTTAATATCCCTCCTCCAGCTTATTACATTTCTCGTATTCCTTCTTTTAATCTCGTCCTCCATCTCTATCTCCCCTCGTTCCACATTAACTCGTATTTAAATTAATACCATTTTTCCATCTTCTTGCTGCCTTCCTCTTTTCTTTTATCTCCTGTCCCTTGACCCCATTCTTCTTAACGTTCTCTTCCTCAGTAATTTTCTCATTATTTCATTTCTCCTCAGTGACACAAAAGTCACAATTTTATGCTCGGTTTTGGAAGATGCATAGGCTATATATTATTTGCGTGATTTTTAAATCTGATTTTTAGGGGTGAGAGAGACAGCAGTGGATACGTTTTGTAAAATATGTTACGCACATTTTTACTGATGTTCATTGAAAACGGCCAGACGCGTCCGCCTTGGCTCTGGAGCAATTAGGAACTGTCGTCGTCTCCAAAAGTACCACATCAGACGAAGGGTGAAGTAGTAGACAATTTCTACAACACTCAGCAGACTGCAGCCCACGAAGAAGCCCGCTGTGCTGCCCAACGACACTGACAACACAGTAAAACATGTGAGGTTACGTCATGCATTGAATAGGCAAGCTTAAGTAACTCCACGGAGTCGAGTCCTTGAGAAGTCGCCAGTCGCTCAGCTACTTAAGAATTTCCCAGTAATTCATGGAACCAGAAGGTTCATCATCACGCTTACAGGAGCCCTCTACTGGTCCCTGTCCTGAGCCAGATCGGTCGAGTACATACCACCCCGTCCTATGTCTCTAAGGAGGATGCAAGTTTGAGGAACAGAAGTCCCCCTGTATCCAACAAGATCTCTGGTATCAAGATTTTGATTCTCATTACATGTATAGGAGCCCAATGGTCACTATGCGAACCACCCGCTTTAACACACTAAAACTCTGCATTCTGCCCACAGAATGTATTTGTGTGTTCCATATGATTTCCACCATAAACAGCGACTGTTTCCCTAAACAGCATTAACCGGTTGGGCTTTGTAGCGTAGTTGTAATGTGTTTCCTGCGAGGTACGGGCTGAGTTTTCTGCCCACAGAGTGTATCTGTGTGTTCTGTATGGTTCTCACAATAAACAGCGACTGTTTCCCTAAACAGCATTAACCGGTTGGGCTTTGTAGCGGAGTTGTAATGTGTTTCCTGCGAGGTATGAACTGAACTTTTGTACATTATTAAAAAAATATCAGTCTTTAAAGGGTTAAAATGGAATGCAGCTGCTATTAAATGATGACGTAACGATTTTCATCACTGTTTGATTAAGAAGCGTATGAAATTGTGAATCGTATTTTTCCCTCGTGGTACCGATGTTTATCTTATTTGTTTGGTGTCGTGTGAAACTTCTCTGTTGCCCTAAGTAAACACATAGGTGAAGGGTATTTGGGAGCGGGTTGCTGAGGAATATATTTAGACCTTAGAGGAAGAAGTGGCGGGAGGCTGGAATAGTTTTCAAATTAGGGCCTTGACAGTTTGCACTCTTCGAAAAATATTAGGATGATGAAAAGAAGGAAAATAAGATGGGTAGTACGTGTAGCATTTATACAAGGGAACAAAAATGCAATCAGAATTTTCGTCAGAATTCTTGAAGCGAAGAGACCACTTGGATGATATTAACATAAACGCAGGATAATATTAAAATATATTTTGAAATAATTTTGACGGCTAGGGACTGGAGTCCTTCGGTTGAGGACAGGGACCAGTGGTGGGATGTTGAGAATATAGTAATGAATTTCCCCGGAATACTTTGACCAGTTGAACGACTATCAGTATTTCAATCAGTAATGCAGTAGTGAACAATGTTAGTGTATTTTTACGCTCACCCAAGAGATCGTCGAAAGTGAATAATACATCTCTTCTGAATCTGACCTTCGCATATTCTCCGAGGTAAATATTAACAAGGGCTGTCTCTTCTTGCCGGTTGGCTTTGGTCATTTTCCTGAAAAGTAAACGCAGTCACCAAATATGTGAGAGCTTCGCCGTTGTATTTACACTTCTATCAGATGTACATGACGTGTATCATATCCTTAGTTAATCTTGTTAAAGATCTCTGTAATATAAATTAATATAATGAATATAAATGTCTTTTAACACTTCAGAAACAAAAATCTCTCTGAGCCTTTTAGTTCTAGAATATTGAAACCTAAAAGCCCAAAGTTCACATTACTTTTTTGACAATTTGAAATCACGGAAAAGCTCACTCATGTCTGCATGTGGTACCGAATGGAGCCCTGTAAATGAACACGTTGTTAATCATTTTAAAGATCGTGAGAAGCTTAAATCCTATATAGAAAATTTGTTTTTATTTTCATAATCGGCGCAACGGAGCAGGCATAGAGCGCGTAAAAACATTGGTGTGATAAAATATTTGTTGAACAGTGATGTCAGTAAATATGTTTGTATTTACAATTGTATTGTTGTTATGTAATATATCCATATTATGGCGCACTCTTCATTGTTGCCTTTGGACACCCAGCTCCCAACCTACACGATGCTTACGAATTTCGCTAAAAATGGAATCGCGTTAGTCCGGTGCGAATCATGCTAAACCGAATACAGAGAATACTTGTATTGTGAAGGATCTGTGCAACACCGTTAAGTTCTATTCTGTTATAAGTACAGATTTTTTAAGGCACGGTGGTTATTATACCTGTTTAACGTTAAAATATCCCCAGTATTTTGCCTGCTAATTGTACTCATGAGCCGATCACAGTGGCCGCGCGGTCTAGGGCAAGAACCGTCTTCGCCCGCTCGAATACTGGGTCGGGGGTTCGAATTCCACTTGAGGCATGGATGTCTGTATGCGTTTATTCTGTGTTTATGTTGTTGTGTATAGGTAAAGTCCTTGCGACGGGCTCATCCCCCGTCCAAGGAGTTCTACCGATTGTGTACAGGATTAAGAAACTGAAAAATCGGCCAAAGTCTAAAGGGCTATAGAGCCATAGAGGGAGAGAGCATGTGTGTATATTTCTGTGTGCGAGATATGACTGTTAGGTTAAACAGATTATTTCGCTGAACAGAATTAATTGATTGGTTTTGTCGTGGGAAGAACCCGCTTCCTGTGAGGTCGGAACTGACTTAGTTTCTCACATGCGCAGTAAGTATGCTGTGAGGGCCACGCCATAGCTCAAGCGGTTAGTCGCTGGCTTCCCACCCCGGCTGCCCGGGTTCGATCCCGGGGGTCTGGTCAAGTGGGATTTGTGGTGGACAAAGTGGCGCTAGGGCAG